ATTTTTTATTTTTTTTTTAACAGACAAAATAACCCGCAATATTTAGATGTTGGAAACTTATAAATATTAACCCTCATAAATATAGATGTTTCAGAATTCGCAAATTCAACTAACACAGTATTAATGACTTTATTTTCACTTACAGGTAGAGATACAGCTGACTATTCACCTTTCACCAATACCGAAGAAATAAATCTTGGTATCATTTGATTGATGGGGAATTTTTCCGGTTCCAGGGAAGATTCTGGAATTTGCTTTCTAACCTAACCTCGGAACTGGTTCCCAGACTCGGAACAGAAAAATTTGGAGACTTGCCGTAAAATCCCCAAATTACTCATAGACCAGAAAAAATGCAGTTTCTGGAATTTTCTGAACATATACATTGGAGAAATCATAACGTACTGTATGCCTTAATTATTATTTTTTTTTATTTTACACTCTGCATACATACGTGGATATTACATATTAATTTATTTGTGAAATTTGTGGATGATTTTTCTTTTAAAATACTTTACTCCTGATCATCCATATATTATAACATATCCTGCTTTTAATAAAGGCTATATTCTGAAATAAGCATTATCAGTGTATTCTTATCCTTATTATTATCACAGTTTATTTTAAACATTAAAAAATGCAGGAATGATTTGCAATTAACATTGCAGACTGTATTGAGGATATTTTTAAACCATTTAATTATCATCTTGTTCTATGTTTAACATCATTAGTCTATGATTAGTTGGTAAAATTTTATGGCGATACCTACTGTATACGGGTTCCATGACATTTGCTCACAAGATGAACCTAATCTAACCTAACATGTCTTCATTTCAATAATAGTTGAGTAGATGCCTTGGAAACAAATGTCTGCACACTAACTATATGAAGGCTCTCTGGTGAGGATCCATATACAGTATTTACATGTAATATTTTTCCAAATAAAAGATTATTTAAACAGCAGAGACTTTTCTCCGACTTCTGGTTTAGTCCATGTCTTAACATATTGTCTACATTTTTACCCCTGACATTGGGAAAGTGTTCATGTCTTGTTTTTTTGAAAGGGTATTTATTGCATTACTATAATCAGGTGGAGAAAAGGAGGAAACAGTATCTCAAGTTTTCATATCTTGTAGATAACTGGCCTTGTATAATATGAAAGTAAAAATTTTGGTATAAAGATAATTTCCTGTTTGATAGAAAACTAACAGTTATGGTGATATTTTTTCAAGATTTTATCCCAATTCATCTGTACAGTGAGTTCATCACTGTCATAACAAAATTATAATACCTAATACTGTACTTTGGTATATTCTACTGACTTCATCCACAGAACAGGCCATAGTTCTCTTTATTACACTCACCCAAACCCAAGTTCATGAAAGGAACAAGTATTACACTCAATTCCTACGTTTTTATGGTTGTCACAGGCTTTATTTACCTATATTCACTGTAAATGATCGTATTTTACTCCCAGAATTGGCTTATAATCCAAGAAAATACGAAAATGAGGTGCACCTTAGCTTGGGATTCAAGTTTTTTATGCTCGTAAATCGTGTAGCAAGAGCAAACGTTTGTGCCACTGACAACGTTTTCAGGGTGCAAGCATACCAACCCACCAGGTCTTCCGCCAGTTGGTACACCTGACTACACTACGATGAAGTAAAAACAAACGACAGTTGGGTACCACCATGGCCCATCTTGAATAATCACAAAATTTTCACTCTATTGTATTACGACTGCCGGGATACCATGGCATGGTGTACACCACGGCTGATCTTGCAATTGGCCCTATTATATACAGTGATTCTTGGCCTGCATCTAAAAAAAAATTGTGATAATGGTTACGAACACCACATGATTAATCACTCAGAAAATTTTATAGATCCAGCCCAGCCCGATAGACACACAGAAACAATTGAGAGGGTTTGGCGTGACTTAAAGGAGTGGATTAAAAGGCCTGGTATCCGGTAACACTTCCTAAACCAATACCTAGCAAGATAAATAAGCAATACCTAGCAAGATAAATATTCATTCATGATTCTTCTGGTAATGTCCGTCATAAATTCTTGGAAAAAGCTGCCCTCCTATTCCCCCGTTATGTGAGAATCAACGCCAGCAACCAGTGAAATAGTCGATTCCATCATATGGTGAGACTCAGTTAAGTTAGGTTAGGTTAGGTTTTGTTTTGTTTTTCTAGTGTTTTTTTTTTTTGTATTTTATAGTCGCTTAGCCATTTTTTTTTCGGAAAACGCCAATCGAAAAAAAAAATCGCTAAGAAAACCCCCGCTAATTTCCGCCAAAAATGAAGGTCATATTCGGTCTAAACACATAAATAACTAAAAATATATATTTTTTTACTTTCTAACAGAGTACGGTGTAATGCAAATGTACCGATGCAGTACAGTACACTTACTTTGAGGTGTGTTTGTAGAAGGTTCCTGGTTGATGATGATGATGGGAATTAGAAGTGGGGGTGGAGAAGGGTGAAGACAAGGCAGTGGGGATGGAGGAGAATTCACCTTTCAGTGGACCTATGCTTCATGTGTCATTTCACCAATAAAATTTTAAGTTCACTAGGTGTAATTCAAGATTATTTTCTTTAAATCAACACTGCACTACGCTATATATTATCAATATGTTAACTAAATTTCAGAATGATCAATAATTTCAATGAAAAATGCTAAAATATTCAAGACACCAACAAAATAGATGCACCACTGTCAACAGAGCCCAACTGACGCCTTGTGGCTGAGTCAAGCTACTGATGGGCACACAAAAACCTAGTTCACTATACTACATATATTATCAATATGTTAAATAAATGTTTATTTTCTTACTTTATTTTTATGAACGAGTTCTGATATAATAATCATTTCTTGCGCATTTTTTTTCCTTTCATAGATAACTAGGCGCCTAGGCACACACTTATTTGTTTTCCCAGCGATATTGAGGCCGCGCTCCGGTGCTGCGCTTCACCTGGGCTCGCAGCAGTATCATTTTCAGCATGACGTGTGAAGATTGTATATGGACGTAATTTGCGAATTTGCGGATAAAGACAACGAGACTCTTCAATTGTACAAAGACCACGGCATTGTTCCTTTAAATAGAGACTGTCCACACTGCGGGAATTCCTGTGCTTTCAGACCGGAAAAAAATTTATTCATCACTTCCTCAACACCGTTGCTCGACGCTTCCCGCCGTCACAACAAATCACTCCGCCGCCCGGGCTGCATAAACGCCGTTCTTCATACCCACAAATGTTAAGTAGCATTTATTTTAAAAATATCCATTTATAACACATTTGCATAAACTACAACAATGTCCACTATAATATAACTGAAAATTCAGCGTTTTCATAACCGTTTTGTTAGGCAACGTGAAGGAAGTGGACGGAGCACAGATAAAAGAGTTAGCAGACGAACTATGCACTTCATTAAGACTACTGTTAGGAAACTCACTGAATCAAAGGAAAGTGCTTAGAGACTGTAACTTAGCCGCTGTCACCTCGCTATCCAAGAAGGATAGAGGCAGTGCAGCAGAAAACTTTTAGGTCTCACATCATGCATTTTCAAACTTTAAAAAAATTCTGAGGGACGGCATCATCCAACACCTGATAAACTTGTGATAATACATCTTTTATTTCGTAGCTTTACTGAGCCAGTTCAAAATGTTCACATGTGACCATTGGGAAGAAAAATTAACTTCGGAAGCTTTAAGTATCCACCTCTATGTCGTAACTTAAGGGGATCAGTTAAGTTCTCATATCCAGTTAGGAAGAAAATTTAACTTGCATTCAGATGAAAATGCCAACCCATCTACCCAAACCCTCTCCCTCCTACTCTCTTCCTTTCATTGTCCAAATGGTACCCACGTCTCCATGATCCCTGTTGCGCAGCCCAAGGTAAGAAGGTTGTGGGTACTCTCGGGAATATTATAAACTATAGTAATGAAAATACATTGTTTTTATGGTGCATGATGAAAAAATGCATTTTTTTTTCATTTAATTTATTGACAGGAATCAGTAAATTTTGGATATTACACACACACACATAGCTACCAACTACTCGACTCAGACGTGCTGCCAAGCCGACACGAAATCATCTTGTACTGAAACCAAATAGAGTACATGTACCTAATTACAGTTTCTAAGCCTAATTACTATCAATTAAGACATAATGCCCAATAAAGCAAAAATCTTGTGGATATATTTTTTATCATATCTTCTAAACGCTAAGGTAATTTAATTAATTAGATATTAATGATATAATGTTATCTTAACGTAAATTTCCAACTTATAATTAATTACTTCAGTAAAGGTATCTTCTTGGAATGTTACTTTAGATAGATATTTTATAATTTTTTGCACGACTCTTAGTAACTGCCATATTATTAAACAACATCTAAAGTTCTTCAAATTACTGGTTATCTATATGTGTATATTTATATTACTCAAAATATGTACATTTATCAATATCTGTTCCGTTAGTAGATTAATATATGCAAATTCATTAATATCCATTCTCTAAATTTGTTAACGTATGCAAAATTAACAAATTAATTTAATAAGTGTTGAAATATGCAAATATGTCAATGGCCATCTCCAACCTTGCTGTCTTATTGAACAATTTAGTCCAGCAAAATGATCGTTTCTCTCTTACAAGAACGATGACCTTGTTAACGTCTTGGTAGTGTTGGGTAACTTGAGGCTGGTTTGGGGTTAACTTCTAGTTCGTGTTGAGTCTCTGGTTAACCTCTAGCTGGTCTTGGGTCTCAGGTTAACCTCTATCTGGTCTTGGGTCTCAGGTTAACCTCAAGCTGGTCTTGGTTCTGGGGTTAAGCTCTATCTGGTCTTGGGTCTCGGGTTAACCTCTATCTGGTCTTGGGTCTCGGGTTAACCTCTATCTGGTCTTGGGTCTCAGGTTAACCTTCAGCTGGTCTTGGTTCTGGGGTTAATCTCTAGCTCGTCTTTTCGTCTCGGGTTAACCTCTAGCGGGTCTTGGGTCTCGGGTTAACCTCTAGCGGGTCTTGGGTCTCGGGTTAACCTCTAGCGGGTCTTGGGTCTCGGGTTAACCTCAAGCTGGTCTTGGGTCTCGGGTTAACCTCAAGCTGGTCTTGGTCTCAGGTTAACCTCAAGCTAGTCTTGGGTCTCAGGTTAACTTCTAGCGGGTCTTGGGGTCCTGGGTTAACCTCTAGCTGGTCTTGGGTCAACCTCTAGCTGGTCCTGGGGTTAATTTGAGGTTGGTCTGGGGTTGTTGGATCGGCTGAGTAGTGAATGATACCAGCTGAACCAAACGGCCATACGAGGGTCACTCATGGTAGGTGGTATCAGGTGGTGCACAACTTCTTCACACCTGTAATACAACACAACAACACTCTTAGTGGCATGGAAGAGAGAGAAAGAGAAACCTCTTCCTCTCATGTGAGACACCCAACCTCAGTGACAGTAATGATGACAGAGAGAGAGCGAGCCAGGGTCTTCCACGACACCAGAACACATGCTAGTTATCATTATACCAACAATAATAAAATACATACAAAATATAGACCGATTAAAAAAAGTCTCATGAACGCCTGAACTTAAAACCAAAACATCGAACTTAATTAAGGAATACATCTTAAAATATTAAAGTCTTTAAACATCATTGACTCATTCAAGTTCATTGCCGCTGGGAGCTGAAAGTAAAGGATAAATGCAGAAATATACGTTAACCTGTTGACATAAACATCTGTTGACACCTGTTGGCATACACACTTGTTGACTCAAGCATCTCTTAATGTAAGCACCTGTTAACGTGAGCATTTGCATTGACTGAAGTATGTGTTGACTTAAGCACCTATTGACTTACATGTTCAGCTCGGCGACGTACACCATGTGGGGTCCACATCCCTGAATGTTGACGTGCTCCCGGGACCTCCCTGGGTAATGCAATGCCTCGTCGTCCATCTGGTCCTCCTCGTTCCCCACCTGGCCTGGGGACGTCGACTCTTCCTCCTCCACCTCCTCGACGATGGGGCTGTCGGGACCTTGTGGAGCGGGTTCTTGGCTCAAGGGGCGGCACCTGCACCACCCAGACCAATTTTTTAGCTGCAGATAACCTTTACACACCTATATGACGAATGCTCAGAGATTGTATGGTATGTTCAGTTGCATGTGGGTTTTTTTGTTTGTGTGATTATCAATGTGTAAGTATGAATGTACGTATACTCACGTGAAGGAGGGTGTGGCGCCATCAGTGTTGGGTACACAGTGGAGGGTAGTGGGCTGGCCAGAATTCTCACCACCTGTAACAAATAATAATAGTTACCCCTTTCGGTCTCAGAAGTATTTTACCAATTTCTTTTTTCCCGAGAATCAAAAACAAACTCATTTGCTTTAACATTAACACGATAGACAAAACTCAATAAACTTTTCGGATGTATTTTCCAAGGAGAGTAATAATATTTTTCACCACAACTATTGTACAATTTGAATCCTAAACTTGTACATTACCAAGACTTCAATTAATTATTATTATTATTTTTACTATAGTACTAACACTTTCAAAACCACGATTAAACATTGAAGTAAAACTATTCTATTGCGTTTCGTAGTGAACAAAAAACCTATAACTTTCTGTCTCCAAAAGTATAAGGAGATAGAGATATATTCCTTCTACACACACACACACAGGCTGTCACAAGGTTTCATTACACTTGGAGACCTGTCATTCGTGAGGTAACATTTTGAAACGTTCATTATTTGTTTGTAAAAATCTTGTATGGACAATAACCTAATTTGACCTGCCCTAGCATAGCCTATCCTAACCAAATCTCATATAACCTAACGTAATATGACTACCCTAACGCAGACTATCTTCACCAAATCTAATATAACCTGTTACATCCTTGCATTTCAGGCAAGATAAAAAAATCGACGGTACTGTGGGGGTATGAGATATTGGTTCACACTCAGGATGGGATGGAAAGGAAACTCACAATGTGCTCACTGTATACATATTGTATTGGATGTACAATGCAGCTTATTGCTGGGTAGGTAGCATGGTAATAAGCGTTGAGTAGAGAGAGCTGGGTGGTGAGGGTGCCCAGAGGAGGGACACGCGGCTTGAGGGACGCCAAGGTCGCTGGCGGAGCGGCAGCCGCCAGCCTGGCGGAACTGCAGCCGCCAGGCTGGCGCGGTGGAGGAGGTGTTGCTTGCTGGTGGCACTGGGTAGAAAAAAGAGAGCTGGTCACAACGGTGTCAGGCCTTATAAGGCGGGGGTAGGCGTGGGTAGATAGTTGACCCCCGCTCCGTGGGCGGCGCTGGAGTCGTAGGCTGGGGTATTCGAGAAGGTTCGGTGCTTGTAGGGGAGGACTCCACTACAATACTCCCCTTCCCCTCCGGGCGCGGTGGGAGGCTGGAGGTTGGCAGAGTTGCGTGCCACATGTGAGGCAGAACGGGCGGTGCATGCCACATGTGGGACATAACGGCGAGGGCGTGAATGAGCCGGCCGCTAGGGGGGGGGGCAACTCTGTCTAGACACACGAGATCTGTGGGAGAAAAGAGGGAGAAGGAGGGTTGTGGAGGCGATGAATGATGTGCTTCCCTCGCGACAGGTACAGAGTCCTCAGATGCGCCTGCTGGGGTGTGTGGGCCTGGGTCAGGAGCAGGGGCTGCGTTAGGAAGAGTGTCCATGACAGCAGCAGGGTGCATGACAGCAGCAGGGTCCACGACAGCAGCAGGGTGTAGGACAGTAGCAGGGGGTACCTGAGGGAGAAAAGAGGGGTGTGTGGGTCCGCGTCAGGAGCAGGGGCCGCGTCAGGAGCAGGGGCAGGGGGTACTGCTGGGCTGGGGGCGGCGTCTGAGGCAGGACGGGTTTGTTGGGGTCGGTAGGACTTGGTGCTTGGGGCAGGAAGAGGAGCTGGTGTCTGCTTAGAGTAGCAGAGCTGCTCTAGGGTGTCTAACCTGCGGTGTAGAGACAGTAGCTGTAGAGCCGATGAGAGCTGCTTCTGTGTGGATAAGCCAGTCTTCCATGTTGCTTGAAGACTGGGAGAGTGATCAGTTTCTCCTCCATCATGTGTGAGTGCGAATCTCCGGGGGTCACCATTTGTAGGGGTATGAGATATTGGTTCACACTCAGGATGGGATGGAAAGGAAACTCACAATGTGCTCACTGTATACATATTGTATTGGATGTACAATGCAGCTTATTGCTGGGTAGGTAGAATGGTAATAAGCGTTGAGTAGAGAGAGCTGGGTGGTGAGGGTGCCCAGAGGAGGGACACGCGGCTTGAGGGACGCCAAGGTCGCTGGCGGAACTGCAGCCGCCAGGCTGGCGCGGAGGAGGAGGTGGTGCTTGCTGATGGCACTGGGTAGAAAAAAGAGAGCTGGTCACAACGGTGTCAGGCCTTATAAGGCGGGGGTAGGCGTGGGTAGATAGTTGACCCCCGCTCCGTGGGCGGCGCTGGAGTCGTAGGCTGGGGTATTCGAGAAGGTTCGGTGCTTGTAGGGGAGGACTCCACCACAGTACCTCGTTTAGAGAGAAAATGCGCTTTCAATGGGTAACTTAAGAACTAGTCATGCATGTTTTATGAGCGATGTAGCATAATATTTACTTTTATCCTCTTTGCCACTGACCGGCTCGTTAGCCGCTTGGGCGGTCGATCACGTCTCTTTCGCATTGTTGGCAAGCACTGGGCATGCATTGGCTCCTGAATATATCGGAACCTGCTCCAGTGTTGGTCAAGTCTGGCCTTGAATGAGCTCACACCCTGTGCCGTCACAACGCTCTCTAGCAGATTGTTCCAAGAGTACACAATTCTCACTCCGAAAAAGTTTACCCTCGCAGTTTTCTGGACTTGATTCTTCTTCAACCTTGAGCTGTGACCCCTTGTGGGGCGGACGTGCGCCAGCTCCAGGTATGTATATTCGACCGAGTAGTGCCCCCTGAGATGTTTATACACTTCGATTTGGTCGCCCCTCGCCCATCTGTAGTATAAGCTAGGTAGTTGCAGGCGATCTAATCTCTCTGGGTAACTGAGGTAGATGAATTGGTGTACAGTAGGTGTTAATATATCATCGGTGTAACTGTGACCGTTACAGTGTGTGGAAGAAACATGACAGTTGTGTGTGGTAGAAACATGACAGTGGTGTGTGGTAGAAACATGACAGTTGTGTGTGGTAGAAACATGACAGTGGTGTGTGGTAGAAACATGACAGTTGTGTGTGGTAGAAACATGAGTGGTGTGTGGTAGAAACATGACAGTGGTGTGTGGTAGAAACATGACAGTGGTGTATGGTAGAATCATGACAGTTGTGTATGGTAGAAACATGACAGTGGTGTGTGGTAGAAACATGACAATTGTGTGGTGGTAGAAACATGACAGTTGTGTGTGGTAGAAACATGACAATTGTGTGGTAGAAACATGACAGTGGTGTGTGGTAGAAACATGACAGTTGTGTGTTGTAGTAACATGACAGTGGTGTGTGGTAGAAACATGACAGTAGTGTAGTGTATGGTAGAAACATGACATAGTGTGTGGTAGAAACATGACAGTGGTGTGTGGTAGAAACATGACAGTAGTGTGTGGTAGAAACATGACAGCTGTGTGTGGTAGAAACGTGACACTTGGTGTGTGGTGAAACATGACAGTTGTGTGTGGTAGAAACATGACAGTTGTGGTGGTAGAAACATGACAATTGTGTGTGGTAGAAACATGACAGTGGTGTGGTGTAGAAACATGACAGTAGTGTGTGGTAGAAACATGACAGTTGTGTGGTAGAAACATGACAGTGGTGTGTGGTAGAAACATGATAGTTGTGTGTGGTAGAAACATGACAATTGTGTGTGGTAGAAACATGACAGTGATGTGTGGTAGAAACATGACAGTAGTGTGTGGTAGAAACATGACAGTAGTGTGTGGTAGAAACATGACAGTGGTGTGTGGTAGAAACATGACAATTGTGTGTGGTAGAAACATGAAAGTGATAAGTGGTAGAAACATGACAGAGGGGTGTGGTGGTAGAAACATGACAGTGGTGTGTGGTAGAAACATGACAGTAGTGTGTGGTAGAAACATGACAGTAGTGTGTGGTAGAAACATGACAGTTGTGTGGTAGAAACGTGACACTTGGTGTGTGGTAGAAACATGACAGTTGTGTGTGGTAGAAACATGACAGTTGTGTGTGGTAGAAACATGACAGAGGGGTGTGGTGGTAGAAACATGACAGTGGTGTGTGGTAGAAACATGACAGTGGTGTGGTGGTAGAAACATGAGTGGTGTGTGGTAGAAAAATGACAGTGGTGTGTGGTAGAAACACGACAGAGGGGTGTGGTGGTAGAAACATGACAGTGGTGTGTGGTAGAAACATGACAGTGGTGTGTGGTAGAAACATGACAGTGATACAACTTACCATTATACGCCACGAACATAGTAGGGACAGCGCTGACGGAGGCTAGGAAGGCGAGGGAGAAGGCGAGGGTGGTGGTGGCGACTCCGTGACAGTACATGGTGATGATAGTCTTGGTTACGTTCTTTTCAGGCTTAGTTGTATTTGGCTATGGAGGTGTGCCAGACTTGATTTAAGGTGTCTGTCAGGGGAAGTCACTTTTAATACGTGAGATGTGGCACTTGTGTGGCTCTGACCGAGAGTGACTAAAAGACTGGGGAATGATCGCAATATACATTATGCTGCATATTAGTCAGTGACACCCACACCCCTCCCAAAATAGGCAAGCTCCTCCCTCACCCACCCAATGACCCTACCACTCAAGCAAAATGCCATGCCCACCCGGATATCAAAGTAAAAATCCCAATGTGACTCCCTAAAGCAGTCACGCTCCTCCCACACCCACCCACCCACAATGCCACCCACTCAGTACCCGGATGTTAAAGTAACATTCCTTATTCATGAAGATATATTAGATGGTCAACATCGTTATTTTACTGATATACACACACACACAGATATTATCTATCTATCTATCCTAGTACTGTACAAAGGTAACTCTCTCTATCCCACACACCCTTCTCTCTCTTTCTTTTTATCTCTCTCTCTCTCTCTACAAGTAGCATGAAGGGGACCTAACTGTATTGTACCTCTCCTTGTTGTTTTATTAGGAGGACCCCCAAACATATACATTAATTAAGCAAATTGAAACAGTAACCCTCTGTGTGTTGAGTTGCCTGAAAATATAGCTTCCTTGTGTGTGTGTTTTTTTAATTGACTTAAAACACGTGTTCTTTAAGTTTGTATGTTTGTTGAATTGAGTTTAAACAAGGCTTCTTTGTGGGTGTGTGTGTGTGTGTGTGTGTGTGTGTGTGTTGAGTTGCCTTTTAACATAGCCTCCTTGTGTGTGTCTGTGTGTGTGTGTGTGTGTGTGTGTTGAGTTGCCTTATAACATAGCTTCCTTATGTGTGTGTGTGTGTGTGTGTCTTGCTTCCTGGCGCAACGCGTGTATATGTACAGTATAGTGGCTCCATATATATATATATATATATATATATATATATATATATATATATATATATATATATATATATATATATGTATATATATGGGGTTGGGTGTAAACGGACTGCTAGTATGCTAATAGGCCCGCTGCAGTTTCTCCATTCTTATGTTCTTATATATATATATATATATATATATATATACAGTATATATATATATATATATATATATATATATATATATATATATATATAAATATATATCGGCAACAGGTTCAGTATACTGTATATTGGTGTAATGGCAAACGAGTCGCTGCTTAAACAAACATGGCGTACTAGAGAAGACCTTAACATTTTTCAGTTTCTTTCGCCATTTTTTCTACTGCTACTCATCTCACACGCTGTTGTATGTGTCATGACATCTGAGAACCAGTTTCGGTGGGGCTATAATGTTAACACGTTCTAGAATTTTCTGAAGTGGTGTATCTGGTGAGAGAAAAACATATTTATATAATGGGATTGTTTTATAATACAGTATAAGAATTTTGTTTAATAATTAACACATTTTATAAGTGATATAATAGGCTATTAACAGCAACCAGTCGACCTGCGCCAAGATTCACTAACATGGCAGTTATGGTGACCGTAACCCCGAAAGATCTGGAGTCCGTACGAACTTGGTAATGATGATTTGCTAGCAGTTTGTAAGGCGACCTCAAGTTTAGTTCAGCATGAGAGAGATTTGGTGTATTTGTTTTGATTCTTAACTAAATCAATTAGTGTGCGGAACAAGGCATTCTGGAAGGAATATTAGCCAGTCATAAGTTACCCAGCCGATGAAACGTAACAGTCATATATACGTGAGAAACTATGGAGGGTCAAGGTATAAAGAAAAGGTGGCTTAATTTCTCCGATGAGGAGATTTTCTTGATAGTACTGTAACTGAGGTTGCCAAAAGGAAACGTGTGATCTTGGGAAACCTTAAATCAACTCCCACGAAACAGCTGAAAACAACAGCCTGGTATAACATCACTGTGGTCGTGAATGCAGTCAGCCACACTACGCGAAATGCTGAGGAAGTGCGAAAAATTATTGTGACTTCCGGTCACTTGTTAAAAAGAAATGCCCAGCAAGAACTATACAGTAGATACGTAACCCTAATAATGTCTGTCATGTGATAACCTTTGTTTATGAAATGTATTAATAAGTTTAATCAACAGGCAAAGGCCTAATATTGCTAGGCAAGATCGCGGCTGTTAGGCCTATGGCAGTTACTTAAATAAAAAATATAGGACCAGTGATTTACCGTTTTGAAGTCTGACCTGATATAACATTAGAGGGTAACTGACCAGAAAGAAGACACTTCTTTAGTTGAAGGTTTATTCTTTGGGAAAACAATATTATGTTTGATTTTTAAAATAGAATTTATCTCGAGTTGTGTTTTGATTTTTTATAAAAAAATGCGTCAGGACTACATGAGACCTTGCCACTCGACCAATATCTTGCTGCAGCTGATTTACATAGGCAAAGTATATCCGTATGGAGAAATCTGTAGTATCATGATCGTGTATGATTTACACTTGTCGATTAATCAGCAAATATTCACAAAACGCGACCTTGCACGCTATTACCTCTTGCTAGTATTACTACAGCTTTAACTCATCATGGTACTAATTCTCGACTGGAATTACTTCTTCAAAGCGAATATAGTTGAACGGAACTGCTGCGCATTACTCAGTGTGCACCACGCAGCACTCACTACACGACACTCGCAATCCTACATTACATACACTACACTCCGCTACATTACACTCGTTAAACTACACTACACTACGCACATCATGTGGAACACTTATTTTATAGCTTTAATGACCATCACATAAATTAAGCTGTCTCCATTCCAGCATCAGATTGATTTCATTTGTCAAATTTATCTCCATAAGCTGGAGGCGAACTGCTCTTCGAATGTTGCCTAGATCAGTAACTTTATTATTTTACGGCGGTTCATACACAAGGGTTTACCGATTAGTAACTAGGCTGCCAGACTCCTACATTATACAATAGTAATGTGTTTACTAACCTTTGCTATAATTTTATTACGCTATAATTGACCTTTCAAAAATATTCTATAGTTTTACCTGTATAACCACTCCATGCTTTTTTGTTAGTGTGTGTGTGGGGGGAGTAAACAGTCTTAGCTGGGTGTTATGCTATTATTCCTCAACACTCGAATCATCTTGCAACAGTAGCGTGCTTGCCTCTCAAATTGTGACCCGGGTTTGATTCCCTTTTGGTCTGATGTGACAAGGGAGTGGTCAAGCGTATTTTCCTTTTAGAAGAATAAAATACAGGATGACTGTAGTATTCAAGGTTAAGTTAGGGTAGGGTAGGCTTGGTAGGTTAGTTTCGTTCTTCTAAAAGAAAAATATTTATATGAAAATAATTATAAAAACAAACACAGTAATCGTAAATGTTAC